TTGAGGTGCTTTAATTCAACAACTGAGTAATTTTAACCAATATTTCAGAAAACGTATCCAGTCGGGTCAAACCGATGACGAGCCGAGATAAAATGACTCGGTGTCGACTCGGTCCAAGTTTGAACCAACGTTTTGTTACAAATGTGGCCGTTTTTAACTCAGCAGTTTTAGTGTTCATGGACCAACCAATGCCCTTTGTGAAGGAAAAATTACATAAAAATATGTAGAAGAAATAAATATTTGAAACTATAAAAACAAACTAATAAAATAAGACAATGCTACGTTATTCAGCTGATTAATAATAACTAAAATAATTCAGCATTTTATTTAGAAACAATCATCCATCTTCCTTTTCAGGTTACGGGGGTCACCGGTGCCCATAACAAATGTTCTGCTTTATTCTAAAAGTAGGTTTTTCATAGATCTAGTTCTACACCACAGGAGAAGATCCCGGGCTCGAACCCAGGACCTTCTAGCTGTGAGGCAACAGCGCTAACCACCATTCAACCGTGGTGAAAAACCTTCCTGGGCTGATTTAAACCCCGTTTCTCTCAAGTGTGCCGTTTAGACGCTCAACCTGATCAGTACGTAACATTTATCTATGAATCAAAGCGTGTCTCTACACAACTGGACACGAGGTTTTAAAGGGCGACGTGTACGTAACCAGTCACGCTTCGAAGCCAACTGTAGCAAAAACTGCGCTCAACTCGGGGAACTGAGCTCCGTTTCAGACTCTACAGCAGAGCGGTCAAGAGGGCCAAAATAATAAACGTGGTCCTGGACAAGAGGCAAACGCACTATTTATTAAGAATATATAAACGAACCCTGGATCTCAGATGGAATGTGTCCAGTTACTCACACAGAAACACAAACGGCCTCTTCCAAACACGTTTTACACAGAATTTAGTTCACATAAAGAATTAAAGATCAATGGCTCTCCATCAACTTTTATCCATTATTTCTTAATAAAACATTTTATCACAAATAAAAACGTCCCCCTCTAAAATCCAAACAACTTTCCAACTTAAAAAGCTTCAGCTTCTTTACAAACGTTGGGTTTGGGTCGTGCTCTAGTTGTCTGAAGGTCAAAGGTCGTGACGAGACGATTAGAAAACGACAGAAAGCCCCATCTCTAAAAACATGGCCTTACGTTTGAAAAGCGTCATGTGAAGACAAGACGTGTCTCACAAGACATCTGGGACAAAACCAGCCCACAGGACAGATGTTTACCCAGAATGCACTGCAGCAAACAGCTCCTCCCAGCTGTCAGCACGGTGGTGGAGGGCTGATAGTTTGGGCTCCTTGTAGTCAATGAGTGGACCAGGAACTCTGTAGACCCAAGGGTTCTGGAGCCAAATGTGAGTCCGTCTGTCCAACAGGACCAGGATCCCAAACAGAGCTGCTGATCTACAGCAGAACGGGTCAGAAAGAACAGAACCAACGGTCCAGTCAGAGTCCAGAACCTCAGCCCGATGCTGTGGTGAGACCTTCAGAGATCTGATCAGAACCCTCAATGAACTGAAGCAACGCTGGAACGAAGAACTGGTGCCATCAGAAACTGAATCCATTTGTTTGACAGTTCAGTTATTTTCATTTTCAGTTTTTTGTGTCACACATCGGGTCCTTGAGAAAGCCACGGAGTCATCAAACGCAGATTTAAGTTTCCTTTCATGGCGTATTTTGAGCTGGAGCAGCGTGCACGAGTCCATGTGCACGCCACTGCTCCAGCTCCAAGCACACTGTAAAGGAAGTTCTTCTTCTTCTGTGGTGTTTTGCAGCAGACTGCCTCCACTCTGTTGCACCACCGCCTCCCTGAGCCCGTTTCCATGAAATCTGTCAGTCTGCGTTTGATGACTCCGTGGCTTTCTCAAGGACCCGGACGTGTGACACAAAAAACTGAATTTTGGAACTGAAAATGAAAATAGTCCAACTGAAGTCTCAAACAAATGAATTCAGTTTCAAACCATTAAACTCAGTTTCAGTGCAACTCTTTTTCAAACCAGTGGATTTCACGTCAAATTACGTGAATTACTGACTCAGTCTGAGAGATTCAAATTAATTTCTGATCGCACAAGTTTCTGCCCAAACAAAAGTCCTCCACAACCATGGGAGAGACTGATGCAACAGTTTTTGAACTCGGTTTTGGACCAGAATCAGTCCTTAAAGTACCAACGTTCATGCTCAATAGGTATAAAATCCAACCATGTTCAGTCCGGTCATCTGGGCGGTTTCTTTTTTGTGCCGAGGCGTTTCACCCTCCATCCAGAAGCTTCATCAGTCTGAGGAACCACCAAACAAAACTGCTTCTCCACCAACAGCTTACTCCCAAGTGGAAACAAACCAGTTATGTTGGTGCTAAGATGGCCTCTGGGACACGCCCTCTCCCTCATCGACAAACTCATTGTCAAACTGGTTCAAAACAGCAAAGTCCATGCTCAATAATCCAGGTATACAATCCAACAATGTTCAGTCCGGTCATCTGGACCAGTCCTTCAAGAGTTTTTCTGTCTGCTGCCCTGAGGTCTACAAAGACCGTCCAGTTATATAACTGCTGTAATACTGCAAGATGTGCACGTATAGAAGTAGTAAAATATGTTTTAAAGGTAAAAGATGTTTTTTATATAAAACTGATCGTCCTGAGAAAGAATGACTTTATAAACTACAATAAAAGAGAGATAACGTCTTCTGTGTTTCCCCTAGATTACTTGCCATGACGTGCCACTACCTTCGTGCTACGCCAGTTGTCGTCAGTTGTCGATGGGGGTGGGGGGTTTGGGCTCGGTTCCATTGACAGGGCGGGGCGCCCTGCTTGTATAACGGTAGGGGAAACGCTGTTCTTGGTAAAGGCTTTACCAGAATTCAAAGCACTCTACACGTATAATGGTAAAGAAGTTCCAGAACTACAAACTACCAGCGACCAAGGTCCACCAGCTGAAGACGTGTTTAATTCAGTGCAACCAACTCGGCTGTGTCTCCGTCAGAGTAGAAGAGAAGTCCGGCGTGGAGCGGCTGAGTGAACGTGGTCTGGACTCTGTGGAGGAGAGTCATGGTTCCAGAGACGCTGTAGAAGGACAGAACACCTGCCCTGTGGTCCAGGTACACCCCGACCCTGGAGGAACAAAACCCTGAAACCGGAGTCTTAACGTTGTTGTGCCAAAACGTGTAGTTGTTCCTGTCGCAGCACAGAGCCCAGGACCGGTCGTTGCACCCGAACAGGCACTCGTTCAGGCGCCCAGCTCTCTTGATGTTCATGTACGCAACGGCAACACGAACACCCCCGCGCTTGGACTCCACCTCCCAGTAACACCGTCCGCTCAGACTCTCTCTGCTCAGAACCTGGTGCCAAGCTGTGAACCTGTGTGGATGATCAGGATACGACTGCTGCTCCTTCATGTATGTTGCCTTCGTGTTGTCCCCAGACAGCAGAAGATGTCGGTGCGCGGTGTTTGGATCCAGAGTGATTTCTTTGAAATAATTTAAGAAGCCATCTCTGCTCTTTGGTTCTGGTTCGGGCAGTAGAACGTCCACTTCAGAGACTCTCAGTGAGATGTTTGTCCACGTGTCCCTCAGGACGTCCTGGAGTTTGTCTCGGAGCTCCTCCACAGCTGCTGTGACGTCCTCAAAGTATCTCCGAGGATGAACCTTGATGATGGATGAGTGTGGAGACTCACCCAGTGCTGACACCGACTGGTAGTTGTGGAGAAACTGGTTGTGGTCCTCTGTGTGTGAGAGCTGCTCCAGCTCGGCATCTTTCCTCTTCAGCTCAGTGATCTCCTGCTCCAGCTTCTCCTGAAGCTCCAAGACTCGACTCACTTCAGTTTCCTGCTGGGATCTGATCTGCTGCTTCACTTCACTCCTTCTCTTCTGGACGAGACGGATCAGCCGAGTGAAGATCTCCTCACTGTCCTCCACTGTTTGATCAGCAGAGACATTGATGGCCTCCACCTCCTCCTGGAGCAGCTTCACATCTTTCTCTTGGTCCTGGATTCTCTGCTGGATTTGTTGTCGACTCGCCTCGAGCTCCTTCTGCTTCTCAGCTCTTTCTGCTGCAGCTGAGACGGTTTCATGTCCTTGATGTTCATCCATCAAGCAGAGATAACAGATTAACTTCTGATCAGTATGACAGAAGATCTTCATCACCTCATCATGAAGAGGGCAGATGTTCTCCTGGAGCTTCTTGGAGGGCTCCACCAGCTTGTGTTTTTCAAATGCAGCAGATTCAAAGTGAAGCTGGAGATGTTTCTCACAGTAAGAAGCCAAACAGACCAGACAGGACTTGACAGCTTTCAGTTTCCTCTCAGAGCAGACGTCACAGGACACGTCTTCAGGTCCAGCATAGCAGTGATCAGCAGGAGCAGCTTGAAGACCATCCCTCTTCAAGTCCTCCACTAAAGCTGCTAACGTGATGTTTTTCTTCAAGTCAGGCCTTCGTTCAAAGGTCTGCCCACACTGAGGGCAGCTGTGGGTTTTCTCCTGATCCACCTCATCCCAGTAGGTTTTGATACATCTCAGACAGTAGCTGTGTCCACAGGGAATGGTCGCCGGATCCTTCAGGAGGTCCAAACAGATGGAGCAGGAGATAGACTCCTGGTTCAGCTCCGCTCCTTGCTCCATTTCCTCTGAGGGCCAACAGACGTGTCTTGAAGATGAACCAGTTTTACCTCTGACTTGTTCTCCACTGAACGGGTGACGTCAGTTTGTCTTCGATGTTCCTCTCTGGAAACAAGAACAGGAGGACTATTTTACATCGTTGGCCTTTCCTGAAGAACAAAAACACACCGCACTTCTGGGGTTTTTAACGCCCTCTCTTCAGAATGAATTTCACCTTCTGTGTTAATATAGAAGGCCAGAAAAGGTAGAGATGCACATTATTGGATTTTAGGCCGATACCGATATGTTAAATCTTATTTGGCCAATAACCGATACCGATATTTCCCCCCCAGACCTACTTACAGAGACTACACAGCTTTGCACCTTTTATATTGGTGAGTTATTTTGATAGAAGAGCCGATATTTAACTTTATTGCTAATATCGGCTGATATCATGCCAATAATATTGTGCATCCCTAAGAAAAGGTACAAGTCTTATTGGGGGGGCACCTATCTTTCTACTCTTACGTCCACTTTAAAGCTGCCAGAACGGTTAAGTGCACCCCCATAGAATTTACCGGACATCACAACTACGCCGTGGTCATGAGACGTGCGGTTACCGGTGACATTTTGAGTTACCGTAACAAGGAAATTTGCAAAAATTGACCCCAAAACCCCCTGAGCAGAACAGTCAGCTGACACTGTGAGGTCACATGACCTAAAGTAGGGAATTCAAATTCTAAAAATGCAAGATGGCCGCCAAAGCTAATTTCAAATGGATACAACTCGGAGGCTTTTAGAGATACTCAGCTGAAATTTAGTGTGGTGGAAACTGAGAGCAATCGATTGCAAATCAAAAATCCAAGATGGCCACCCGAGTTAAAAATAAAGAATACTACAAGCAGCCATTGTTAAGAGATGAGCTGAAATTCAGCGTGGTGGGAGCTGAGAGCAGTGCCCAATAAATGCTGAATTCAAATAAAAAAATCCAAGATGGCCGCCAAAGCAACATTTAAACTACTTTAATTCAGTTACTTTTACACATACCGAGCTTAAATTTGTGTAGTTATAGCTGAGAATGTTCCCGCCACATATAATCCAAATCAAAAATCCAAGATGGCCGCCATAGCTTAAAATAAAAAACGAGTACAACTCGTTGATTTTTAGCCATACTGAGCTGAAATTTGGTACGATGGTAGCCGAGAGTGAACCCAAACACACAGTACTGTCAAAAGAAAACGTTAAAATGGCTGCCACGTGGCCGTCCCTTCAGGTTCTCCAGGAACTTCCTGGTTCTCTGCAGTTCTACTGCAGCACCTGTGGTTTTCTCTTAAGCAGCTTCACAAGCCTCAGTGCGACCGTTTCTCTTCCTGTCCCTTTCTCTATTAATTTTCTGGTTCTGATCCGGGTGAAAGGCCCGCTCAACTTGTCATACCTCTGACGTAAAGCGCGGCAGAAATGTGAAATTTTACAAGAGTCGGGAAAAATCTTTACTTACACTAACGTTTGAAGACTTCAACGTGTAACCTGACGCATGCTCAATAATCCAGGCAGGTGAATCGAACACGGTTGACTCGGGTCCTCTGGACGGATTCCTCTTGATGAAACGTTCCGTCTTTTATCCAGAGGACTTCTTCAGTCCGAGGAGCCGCAACAAACTCCGTCTTATAGATGGAGCCTTCTCATGGTGGATTGCTGCTGACAGCCAAAACTAGTTGTTCACATGTAAAAAGGAGGACCACCAGCCTGACGACGGATCGTTAGTGCCCTGACGGCTGCTTGCTGCTCACCGAGGGCCGAGCGATACTAGCAATAACAGCACTGTAAGAGGGGGACAGTTGGACACGGAGGCTCCGCCCCGTTTAACGATGGGCGAGTCCTGTTTCCAAAGATGGCCTCCTTCACTCCTCTCGCAAATCAGCATTCCTGAAACACTAACATGATGTGGAAATCCTAGGAGGTGCATTCTTACAAACGTTTCAGAGTTTGTCTTTGGGACAATCTCTGGATGACAAGAGGCGAACAACGGAGAGGACGCAAACACTCGGGGCACTGTCCTGTGTAAACTACACTGAAGGCTGAACCACACATTGACCACTTCGTGCACAGTCTGTCAAGAAAATGTCACTTCAGACCATCGACAATCAAAAAGGAATTTGGGATCTTAGAAGGAACTAAAGTCATTTGTTTATTAAGCTGTAAAAATCTATTTAAGTTAAAGTAATCAGCAAGAAAAACAAACATCACTGAGTGGACACACAATAAAGAGAACAAACAGGGTCATTAAAAAACAGCCGAAGGAGCCGAAACTGACATGGAAGAGACAAAAAAATGTAAAAAATAAATAACTATAGGCTGAAAGTATAACACAAAATAAAAGTTTTACTAAAAAGCTAAACGTGACAAGATAATAATACTAGATACAAGCTGAAAAGGGTTGGCTAAAAGCAGCAAATAGGACAGCTTAAAGTAGCAATCTACTTAAAATCTGAAAGTATAAAAGTAAAAGTTTCTTCCCTGAAGTGGGAGCATGAAAGATTTGGCTAGTCCCTTTCTGATGCAACCTGGGCTCGAACCTGCAACCTCAGGATTACAAGACCACGGCACTAACCACCGAGCTACCGCGGACCCTGAAAGTATATAAAGTTGTGAAGGTTAAAACTATCATAACACTAGCTAAAAGCTACATTACATTAGCTGAAAGTAGCAGAATGGTAGCTAAAAGGTCAAACCTTTTGATGTTAGCATAAATTAGCCAACTGGTAGCTAAAAGCTTCTTCTTTCGGCTGCTCCCTTCCTCGCGGTCGCCACAACAAACTAACTGACATGAAGGCTTGGAAATGGTTTTTATGCCGGATGCCGTTCCTGATGCAACCACAGACCACCGAGCTACCAGAGCCCTCGGTGTGGAGCAGGGAGCTGCCATCGAGGGCACCCAGGGGAGAAGATGGTGAGGACTAAGGGCCTTGCTCAAGGGCACAGAGTGGGGCAAATGAGGGTGGAGGCAGGCGTGGGTTCTTCACCTTTCCCAGACCAATGTTGTTGGTCTGGGGAGTCGAGCTGGCGACCTTCTGATCACCGGCTTGCCTTCTCTAACCTCTGCGCCACTATTAGCTAAAATTTTTAAAAATGTTAGCTAAATGTACCAGACAGCTAGTCAGAAGCTACAAAGAGCAAAAGACTTGCTAAATGTCAGAAGTTTCAAAACAATAACTAAAAGCTAAAATTCACAGAACAGCAGCTACAAATCAAAAGTAGCCACAAAAGAATTGCCAGAATCTGAAGCAGATTCCTAAATGTTTTTAAAGGAACAACCTCAGCTGGAGCAACAACACCACCAGCCTGATGAAGAAAGCTCATCAGAGACTCTACTTCCTCAGTTTCTGTTTCATGTTGCTGCTGATCTGTTTCATGTTGCTGCTGATCTGTTTCACATTGCTGCTTGTCTTGTTTCACGTTGCTGCTGATCTGTTCATGTTGCTGCTGCTCTGTTTCACGTTGCTGCTGCTCTGTTTCACGTTGC